AACCAAAAAAAAACAAAGCGAGGAAAGAACAAAAACAGACAAAGAACAGAACAGAGCAGAGCAAAAGAGAGTGGTCCTACCGGAAGAAGTACATACAGGACAGAGAGGTTGTGACAAAGAATCGTCATAATCACAGATATCTCGATAGGTAATTTCTTTTTGAATTTTAGCACTTCTAGAAAAAAGCCTGTAACTTTTTGGTACAAGGTCATACAGAGTTGTGCGAGATCTTATTTTGATCAGAAACGTTTGTTCTACAAATCTGTGTGTTCAGAAAAATTTTAATTGCATGAGTATCCAGGAAAAAAGTAATATTTCAAGACCTGGTTTTTCACCGTCGTGGCAGCTACTTATGATCTCTCTTGTCTTCGAATTGGAGTTATCATATATGTAAACTCACCCCAATGGGTTAGAATTCTCTACCATTAGATGATACATTTGAATTATGGAAAGACTAGTTCTTCTAATATTCTTATGTTGTCATTTGCTGAAACAATAGATATGAGAGGACGTCTAGTCCTTTAACTTCTGTACGTGGAAGCTAGTGTAGAGTAATACTAGCTTCCACGAATAGAAGTTAAAGGACTAGACGTCTTCTCATATCTATTGTCTCTTCAGGAGGCTCAGCCTCCTGAAGAGACTCTTAGCCGAGTTGAAACGCATCTTGAAAGCTAATTATGATCTCTCTTGTTTTCGAATTGGAGTTATCATATATTTAAACTCACCCTCACCCTGTGATGATCCTCGTTACTGAGGTGCAATGTTAACATTATGGCAGCTCCACTCACCCTCACCCCCCTTTACCATTACAATTTAGTTTTAAACTGAACCTGTAACAGAATAAAATACCTCGACTTGATTCTTAGTTGAATCGAACTAGAGATACAAACCATCTGGCGAGATCCGTCGTTGGGTCGAAACACGTGTCATGGTAGCTAAACTCTCACGCCCTCACCCTCACCCTCAAGATAGTTTTTCAAAATGATGTAAGCAGTAAATCAATGCAAATAAATGTCAATATTAATAACAACATTAACGTCAATCTTGCTCGGCACATATTACCATCAAATGATCATACAAATATTGACATGAAAGTAAATATGAATGAAAATACAGAACAACAAGACAAAGTGACAACAAGTCAAGAAGTGGAACAAGATAATAATGACGACAATGAAAGCAAAAGTCATCCAAATGCTGAAGAAGAAGTGAACGATGCGGAATTTCTCACACCAACAACAAATGATGACAATGAAGATGAAAATGTTCATTAGGATCAAAACAAAACGTCACTACATTTACATTTAGACACTAGATTTCATACTTTTTGTTTTGTAACTATCAAACTTATGTTTAACCAGAATAAACGCTTTAAAAAAGAAACATCAATACTACACTGATTCATTTTATTTTCTACATTTTCTAAATATTTTTTGATTTAATCATTTTTGACGATAAAAAAAAATTCAACCTCATGTGCTTACTCATTTAGTCATTACCATATCCAGTTATTGGTTCCTAGATACACAACCACTACACGGATATCTGCTAAAATTCAATTCATTTAATTTTTCATCGCAATCTTGTAGATTCTGCACTTAGTGAATGATTTTCTTGATCATCTTCAACAAGCAAAAACTGAAAACCATCTAATAATTCCATCAGCCCATGATGAAATCCGAAAAATGATTACTACAATCATCATCATAATACATTTATTCTTCACTCAGATATTAGATATCTTCCTTTTAGTTTCCATGCAATCAAAGTTACCTTTAAATAAAACATCACTCTCCAAAACCAAGATCATTCTTATTCAGTTGTCTCCCATTTTCCATAATTACTAAATAATTTCTGAACCATTCATCGTAATAGTAATGGCGCCATAGTCAACTGACAACTGCTTCACCATGGTCAACATCTCGATCACGGTGTGCTTACTCACTACTGTTATATGAATATCCATCGTTTTCTTCTGAAAATTGTACAGATTATGTTGATTTATAGTGGATATGTCTTGTTTATGATTCTTCAGATCATTAGAATACACTATCTCTCTATTTATTCAACCGTCTAATGAGACCCTTTAGCAAGGTCGAAATCGCGATGAGTGCTTACTCACCCTCACCCTCAAGAATCGTTACTGTTGTCTTCGATTTGATTAAGTTTGTTTATTGAATTGAATAGAATATCGAGCATACGTAGCATCAACTTGAACCGATTTGTTGAATCCTGTTGTCTATCAGTCACAGTGGTTATATCGTGTTTCACATTTTAATTCCGAAGAGATTGCGCTAAAAGCTTTTTTTCAGTGTACTTTATTAAAATCTGTTTTACGTTCGAACTTTAAATTTTCAAGTCACTGTTTAGCGTTTACTATAATCGAAGGCAACAATTATGATTTTTGTTAATTGTAAGGTTAAGAGGATTACAAGCAAAAACTAGAAAGCGAACTATAGGGCAAAACCACTCTAAGTAGCGAGGAAAAACTAGTAAATACGAATGATGGAACAGCTGAAATCATATAGTTAACAATCGTTCATGTATGTTTTGATGTTGTAGTGGTCGCATTTTGAACCCCTATAATCGAACCTTTGTTTCTTTCTAGACGCCTGATTTGTAGACTGCTGATTTGTAGCCCGCTTATCGAGAAGAACGACTAGCACCTTGTCAGTTTCATCACAAGTAACGACACATTTAATGTCTTTCAATGATGATAAATACGGTTCTTCGTGTTGTTCTAGTTCGAAGTCAATAACGTCATATAGCTTTTGGGTAGAATCGTAAAGGAGCCATTCACCATGTGGTAATGCCTGGATAGTCGTACAGGGTCGAATCAGCTGAACATTCGAGAAATGTTTCATATCATGTTGATACAATGCAAAGCGATATTCATCGTCACACTGAATACTTAAAACAATATAATGTTCATTTAATCCAATAGCAGTAATCTCTTCGTCTGGAGCACATGTGGTGGGTGGTGACCAACAGTATAAGAGAAACCAAGTGGATAAGTTCTTGTCCATCTTATATAAAAACAAGCGACATGAACTGTCGCTCATGAGGCAAAGATCTTTCCAGTGGGTCATATATTGCCATTCCATCTCCATTTCTGGCACAACCTCTTCGCTCTGTAATGTCGCCGCACTAGTAGCTACAGCTACAAGGCTATCGCTCGATAAGATAAGGAACTGCTGGAGTTGATTTGACCATTGCACATCAAGCACTGACGATCCCTTCCATTCCAACTCTGACGTCGATCCTCTGCGGAAAAAAAATATATATAGATACCGGGAATATGGATTCTGGTCGTCAACATAGATTAGCATCGAAGACGAAGCACAGACGTAACCTTGTGTTTCTATTGTAATGTTAGTTGAAGGTTGTTGTGTCGTAAGAAAACGTTCGATAAAAGAGCTGTATTGCTTTTTAGACTTTACCATGCTAGAATCATTGCGTTTCGTTATTTCTGGTAACGAATAAGTTTCGAATGATTTAATACGTATAATGTTTGAACAATCGAGAGTTGGTAAATTCAGTTGAATGTGATGTAAACTCGATAAATCGTTCAAGTTTTTGTTTAATTTTTCAGTCGTGGATTGAAGTTCTTGTAAATCTGTTTCAAAATAATTGTCGTTATGTCGAAAAGAAGTAATTTTGCTGGTTAGTTCACCACATTCGCGTTCCATTTCACTAATAATCAATTGATGATTTTGTTGTCGAGCATTGTTAGCGGCTTCGGTCACTTTCTGCAACATTGTACTTTCCCAGTCGTCGATCACCTTTAAATATTCCTTTGATACATTTGCTGGTAATTCCTGAATACGTGATCGAAGAGCATCTCTTTGTAAAGCAATACTATCTAATGTATCGTTCAATGTTTGGCGATGTTCATTGAAATGAGAGAGACAAAATGATTGATAACATCCCGCACATGATGTAATACCCGGTTTGGCTTTTAGTTCATCGGAATTCAGTATACATGTGGCACATTTCTTCATAGTCACCATACTCGATGCCATGAAAAGCTATTACATAAAAAAACCAGATACCGATACAGTTTCGTTCTCGACGAAGAGCCTCAGACTAAATGAAATCTATCAGTTGATCTCTATGTTTGCTCAAAAACGCAGGAGAGAAAGAAAACTTTATTATGTGAGACAAGGTCGTCAGCAACGCCGACTCTTCGTTTTTTGTAAGGATACATGATAAAAAAATGCATCTTTTTTGCTTGTGAAAAATAGTTATTGTCGCCTTATCGTTGAATCAACATCCTTCCTTCGAAACAAGTTGACAAGGAATAGTGGAGATCTCATAGTAGTGAACTTCGATAGATAGACTTCTCATTTTCCTTTGAGTTTGATTAGCTGATTAATACGAATGTTTAAACGAACAATTTTGTCGTTAGATAAATTAATTTATCGGATTAATGTAAGTCTTATTTCGAGAACAACTGGAATTCTGTCGATAGTAGGACAATCGTGAATATTCGAAAACATCTAAAAATGTTTAGAATATGACTACGATAACGAGCTTTGCACAGAATTTCGCAAATGAGTGAAACTTGACAGTTATCTAACGGGTGGCCCATAAAGATGAGGCACTTTTGTTATGACTTTTTGAGCGTCTTAAAATGTTTCTAGAAAAATTATTCCGAGACGAAAAAGATAGAGGATTTTGTGCTCTACAAGAATATAAGTCTGAAAGGAATCCTAATCGGACCTTTTCCTCTAAAATTTATTTTATATCCCTGTATTTTTGACATTTAAATCTTCTCGTTTAGTCCTGATCGATTCTTTCACTTTCGACCCTAGATTAAAGTCAAGGGAACAGGGTAACGCTCGTTTGCACTACTGAAAAGTAAAACGAGAACCTTTAATTCTTTCAGAATGATATCATTTCTACATCGAATTTATTCATCAATCGATTCATCTCATCGGACATTGATCGTCGGCGATGTTCATGGTTGTATCGATGAATTAAACGAATTAATTAGTAAAGCATTACCAAATTATGATCAGTCAACTGATATGATTT